CATTTTAATTTTTTTTGTTTTAAAAAACTATTTAAACTTTTTTTTAGAGACAGAATCCTGTTCTGCTGCCCAGTCTGGAGTGCAGTGATCATAGCTAAACGCAGCCTCAAATTCCGGGGCTCTAATTTTTTTTAGTTTTTGTCGAGATGGAGTCTCGCTTTGTTACCCAGCCTGGTCTTAAGCTCCTGGCTTAATCCTCTCACCTAGACTTCTCAAGGCACTGTGATAACAAGGCATGAGCCACCACACCTGGCCACTGAAACCTTAAAATGTGTTTGCTTTCAAAGTTACCAAGCAGTAACTGGAGTAGTCCTCACATGATACTTTAATTACATGATAAGCAAAGCTAAGCCATTTTATTTATTTTTATGTATTTACTTATTTTTGAGACAGAGTCTTGCTCTGTCTCCCAAACTCGAGAGCAGTGGTGCGATCTCAGCTCACTGCAACTTCTGCCTCCCAGGTTCAAGCGATTCTCCTGCCTCAGTCCCCCAAGGAGCTGGGATTACAGGTGCCTGCCATCATGCCTGTCAAAAGCTAAGCCATTTTAATTACTCAATAAGATGTAATTTTTTTTTTTTGCATTATGATGTAATATTTTAAAGCTAACAGCACCCCAAAGAAATATATTAATGTTAAATTACATTTAACTGACTTAATATCTCACTGGATTGCATTTGTATTTAATCAGATCAAATGTTGATATGGACTCATATGACATTTTTTTTTCCTTAATTAAAAACTAGACAGAAGAAAACTGAAGGTGGCTGGACACAGTGGCTTATGGCAGTAATCCCAGTGCTTTGTGAGGCAGGGGCAGGAGTATCTCTTGAGACCAGGAGTTCAAGTCTAGCCTAGGCAACATGCAAGGCTGTATGTCTACAAAAAATTTGAAGTATTAGCCAGGTGTAGGGCCGGTTGCAGTGGCTCATGCCTGTAATCCCAGCACTTTGGGAGGCCAAGGCGGGCAGATCACAAGGTCAGGAGATCAAGACCATCCTGGCTAACACGGTGAAACGCCATCTCTACTAAAAATACAAAAAATTAGCCGGACGGGGTGGCTGGCGCCTGTAGTCCCAGCTACTCGGGAGGCTGAGGCAGGAAAATGATGTGAACCTGGGAGGCGGGGCTTGCAGTGAGCCGAGACTACACCACTGCACTCCAGCATGGGCGACAGAGCAAGACTCCGTCTCAAAAAAAAAAAAAAAAAAAAAAATAGCCAGGTGTGGTGGCACGCATCTGTAGTCACATTTACTTGGGAAGCTAAGGTGAAAGGATCACCTGAGTCTAAGAGTTTGAGGTTGCAGTGAGCTATGATTGTGCCATGCATTCTAGCCTGGATGATAGAGTAAGACTCAGTCTCTAAAAATTTTTAAATAACACAGCAAATTTTTAAAATTTAAAAACATAAAAAAGTTAAAAAAAAAAAAAAAAGACATACCATGTTCATGAACTGGTGAAATGAATACTGTTAAAATGACCATACCACCGAAAGTAATCTGCAGATTCAATGCAATCGCTATCAAAATACCAATTATATCCTTCAAAGAAATAGAAAAAAAAAAATTCGTATGGGACCATAAAAAATCCCAAATAGCCAAAGCAATGCTGAGCAAAAAGAACAAAACTAGAGGCATCACATCACCATATTTCAAAATATACTACATAAGCCAGGTGCAGTGGCTCAGTCCTGTAACCCCAGCACTTTGGGAGTCCAGAGCGGGTGGATCACTTGAGGTCAGGGGTTCGAGATCAGTCTGGCCAAAATGGTGAAACCTCGTCTCTACTAAAATACAAAAAGTAGCCAGACATGGTGGCATGTGCCTATAAGCCCAGTTACTGGGGAGGCTGAGTCAGGAAAATTGCTTGAGCCTGGGAAGCGGTGGTTGCAGTGAGCCAAGATTCTGCTACTGCACTCCAGCCTGGGCCACAGAGCTAGACTCCATCTCCCAAAAAAAAGAAAAGTGTGTGTGCGTGTGTGTGTATAACAAATACAATATATATACTACAAATATAGTAACCAAAATAGCATGGTACCAGCATAAAAACACACACAGACCAACAGAACAGAGAACCCAGAAGTAAATCCATACATTCACAGCCAACTGATTTTAGAAAAAGGTAGCATGAATATTCATGGAGAAAGAACAGTTACTTCAACCACAGTGCTAGAAAAACTGGATATCCATATGCAGAAGAATGAAACTCGACCCCTATCTCTGGTGATATACATAAGTCAACTTTAAATGAACTAAAGACTTAAAATGTGAGACCCACAAATATAAAATTACTAGAAGAAAACAGGGAAAACACATCAGGACACTGGTCAGAGCAAAGATTTTACAAATAAAACCTCAAAAAAATAGGCAACAAAAAGAAAAATAGACAAACGGGATTCTATCAAACTAAAAAGCTTCCATACGGCAAAAGCAACAAACAACAGAGTAAAAGGACATCTCACAGAATGGGAGAAAATAGTTGCAAATTATACATCCAACAAAGGATTACTTTCCGAAATACACAAAGAACTCAACCAACAGCTAAATAAAAATAATAATCCATTTTAAAAGTAGAACAATTATCTGAATAAAGAGCTCTCAAACAAAGAAATACAGATGGTCAACAGGTACATGAAAAAATGGTCAACATCAGCCAGGCGCAGTGACTCATGCCCGTAATCCCAGCACTTTGGGCAGCCGAGGCGGGCAGATCCCCTGAGGTCAGGAGTTCGATACCAGTACGGCCAACATGGTGAAACCCCATAGCCAGGCAGGGTGGTGGGTGTCTGTAATCTCACCTACTTGGGAGGCTGAGGCAAGAGAATCGCTTGAACCCGGGAGGCAGAGGTTGCAGTGAGCCGAGATCGTGCCACTGCACTCTAGCCTAGGTGACAGAGTGAGACTCTGTCTCAAAAACAAAACAAAAAAAGGATCAACATCAATAGTCATCAGGGAAGTGCAAATCACAACCACAATGAGATATCATCTCACTCTAGTTAGAATGGCTATTATGAAAAAGGCAAAAAACAACAAACACTAGAAAGGATGTAGAGCAAAGGGAACTCAGGCACTACTGGTGGGAATGTAAACTAGTATAGCCATTATGGAGAACATCATGAGTTTCCTCAAAAAACTACAAATTGAACTCTTGTATGATCCAGCAATCTCACTACTGGATATATATATCTCCAAAAGAATTGTATTGAAAAGACACCTGTTCCCTCATCTTTATTACAGCACTGTTCAGAATAGCCAAGATATGGAATTAACCTAGGCACCCATCTACAGATGAATGGATACGGAAAATATCACACACACACACACGAATACTATTTGATCTCAAAAAAGAATGAATTCCTGTCATTTGTGGCAACATGGGTGAGGCTAGAGAGCATTATGTTAAGTGAAATAAGCCAGGAACAGAAAGATAAATACCGCATGTTCTCACTTCTCATGTAGAAGCTAAAAAAGATGACCTCAAAGAAGTAGACAGTAGAACAGTGGTTACTAGAGACTGGGAAAGGTAAGGGGAAAGTGGGGAGAGAGAGAGAGACTGGTTAAAAGATAAAAAAAATCACAGGTAGATAGGAGGAATAAGTTCTAGTGTTCTACATAGCACTGCAAGATGACTACAGTTAACAGTAATATATAGTTTCAAATAGTGAGGAGGAGGCTGTTGTATGTTCCCAATACAGAGAAATAGTAAGTGTTTGGGGTAATAGATATGTCAATTACCCTGATTTGATCACTATACACTGTATGTATAGAAATATCACTATGTACTCCATAAATGTCTACAACTATTATGTGTCAATTAAAAAAATTTAAGAGATTAATCTGCAACTTTGGTGATTAAATATTTACTCATTGTGACCTCAGATTGAATCTTCATGAACTAATGCAAGGAAAGAAGGACACATATTTCAAGAAATGTTGGAAACATGACCAGGCCCCTCATGGAAACAAGAAAATGAATACATAGTAATGGCATTCTGATGTTTCCTCTGGATCATTTTAATTTTCTCTCTAATGTTCTTAAATACTTTTAGTTATCCGGTAATCTCAGTACTTTGGGTGACCAAGGTGGGAAGATCACTTGAGCTCAGAAATTTGAGAACAGCTTGGACGACACAGCAAGACTTCATCTCTACTAAAAATTAAAAAAAAAAAAAAAAGAACTAAAAAATATGTATTATCCCATTTCAATTAAAATTAATAAGCTAATAAAAAATATACTCTATTTATTTATCAAAACAAAGGTGGGGATCTCTCATTAGTCTAATTCTAGAAAAGCTACATATATTTAAAAATTTGTACTTCCTTATTCTGGATTTCCTTATATTAGAAATAGTTGTATTTGTTTTCAGCCATAAACCAAAAGATTTTAAAAATTGTCTCCAATGTAGATATACTGGTCAAGTATACCCTATCTTCTGTATCATATAAATCTTAATAAACGGATTAATGAATTACAGCATAATCTCATTTGAATTATCATATATATAGTCTTAAATCACCTCACTGAAAAACCCATTCCAAACTTACTCTGGTAATAGATATCAGCCACAATTTTTAGAAGTAAACCTTTGCTAAAAAGGTCATTTCCACAATAATCAGAACAGAAATTCTCTCAATCTGTGACATTAAAAATAAGTTAACTAAAGAAATAATACAAAGATGTTACATCACTCCAAGCAAAATACCCGTTTTCAGATTCTGTATCAGTGAAGAAAAACAGCAGCTATAAACAAACCAACATTATATTCTATGGCTAAGAGGAATAAAATCACCTATTTTGAGCGAGGACAAAAATTTGTAAGTTTCAACTGCCACTTACAGATTCCTTCTTCTATCCCAAATTATTGATATAGCATAAAGATTTAAAATGTAAAGGTCTAAATATTATAAAGTGACTTTTACAAAGACTCATTATTTCATCAAACTATTTCTAATTTATATTTAGATAAAGACTACCTTAAATTTAAGTACATTGATTCTTACCTCCTGATTAAATTTATGGGCCATCTCATTAAGTAGTGAAGAAAAAAAACTAGTGTTTTGTAGTAGAACTCGACCCATAACTCCGAGATACGTGGACATCACTACAGGATACCTCTGTACAATTAAAATACAACACTTGTAAAATTGTGTTATAGTACAAGTATAAACAATCACTGACACAGTAACAAGCAACACAGATATAAAATAACATTCTCCTCCATATTACTTCTCTTTAGAATGAACTGTCAATATTGCCTGAGTTCTAACTTACTAAATACATGTATGAATTATATGCATCATCTATCTATACATATATATATATATGTCCAATAAAGAGAAAGAAACAATATTTACCAATTTCATATATTACTTTTTTTTTTTTTTTTTGAGATGGAGTTCACTCTGTCACCCAGGCAGGAGTGCAGTGGTATGATCTCGGCTCATTGCAACCTCCGCCTCCCAACACTGTATTACTTTAAATACTCATAACACACACAGGTCTATGGATCTATTTAAGAGAGCTGTTCTTAGAAAATAACCAGTGGTTTAACATATTCAGTCTATACCAGCATTAACACTATCCTGTCCCCCTCATATTCTTAGTAGTCAAGCATTGGAATTAAGCCATTCACCATTCCTGTACTTCAAATGACTTTTGTGTGAACATACATGCATATGTTTGAAAGAGACATGTCAAAGAAAATCTATGCTTCCCTGTGTGGAACAGGAAAAGACAAAGGCGTCTAACTGCCCTGAAAATTTAACGTAATTTAATATGATCCAAATGACAAGAAAAGTTTTCCTTCTGCATCTAATAGAGTAATTAAAATTAGAATCCTATAGTCTAATACTACCTCTGGAACTTAAAGAAAAATCTTACCTCCCCTTCTATAATACCCTTGAAAACATAGGGTAAAATCGGTTGAAACATTTGCGGACCTAATATTGGGTTCACTTTAAGGGCATTTTCTACAACCTAAAACCCAGAAAGAAACATTGGTGATAATACTGAAAGTCATTCCTTTATGAAAAACACATGTAAGGAAACAATACACTAAAATAAATATCACAGACCAAATTTAAGAATGCAGAGTACGCAATATTCTGACACCAGACACACTTTTACAAGGTAATCCATTTTAAAATTGCAGTTTGATATGAAGTATATATTTACACACAGCTATATATCTTGCATACAACTGTATTTAATCACATTGTAATAACATAGGTATCACATGCAGTTAATGTAATTCTTACCCTTGCAATTTAAACAAATAACCCTTAAAAATGATGCACTAATAGAGGCAGCAAAAGGCATTTTTAAAATATTGGCTTTTTGATAGCTAAACAGGAAGTTAGTAACACCTATACTCACTGCCCAGAAATAAATCCACATTTAAGTCAATCAATAAATTGGAGGAAAAAGGCATGTGGCATATATACTGCATATTTATTAAATTAGAAATCATATTTCATTAATAATTACACTGTTAGTCATGAGTATTGATTGTTACATGTGAAAACGACATAGAAATTATTTTGATATGAGTGAGATGTTTCTTCTATAACAAAAATGGGTAAGCATGAAATTCAAAGCAGGGTGGAGGCTTTTTGTTTATTGTTGTTTTAAGTTTTAAGAGGAGAAGAATGCAGTGGTCAGGAAACAGCAAAAAGGACCAAAAAGGACATTTACCCCACACTTCCAGCCCAAGTGCTTGAGAGGTGGGGAAGGAAACAGATACCATCTGAGAGGGCTGTGGGCAAGGAATGGTCTCAGGGTAGAGCCAAGTTTCCCTTATGACTTCTATCAATGATTCTCAAGATTGACTACTGACATTTTGAATGAAGAGAACCATTTACTGTGCATAGTCATCCCATGCATTGAGGGAGATTTAGCATCTTCCAGTGTCTGCTTACTGTGTGCCAACAGTGTACTCCAAAAATTATGACCATCAAGAATACTTCCAAGCATTTCAAAACAGTCCCAAGGTAAGCAAGTAGCATCCATGGTTGATAACAACATTTGCTGCTGCTCTAATTTTGAGCAAGAAGTGAAGGTAATGTCCAAATAAAAGATTAAAAATATAAAGACTTTACTGTGGGGCAAGCACTATATATGCTACTACTAAGAGATACAAGTTCACAAGATATCAATTCCTGATTAAAAGCAAGAGAAGATAAAATTTGAAACAATAAAATTTTATCTCAATAAAGTTTATTTTTTTGAGGAAAAAACACCAAAACTAGATCTGGGAAAAAAAGATAAACATGGAAAATATACAGATAAGCTAGTAGATTGAGAGAGTTATAGAGGCAGATATTACCAGACAGTATTTATCTGTGAGTAGAAAGTAAGGCCACCTGCCCATTATTAAATACATGTATAAGTTCACTCCCATCTCAAACCCTACTAAAATTATAGAAAAAAAATTTTAAGAGGGGGAACATAATTTTAAAAGGACAAGAGGAATGAGAAACATACACTGAAAGCAAGAAAGAAGAAATTCAAGAGGAAACCAACTCATTAAGTCAGAGAAAGCTGAATCCCAAGGTGTCAAAGGAGAAAGCTGAGAAGCAACCAGATTTACTTCATGTAACTTCCCCCACTTTCTCTACTCCAAAAAACACAGAAAGTAGCAGAACCTTACACTTTTCAGAAGGAGAAAGGGGAAGCCAAAAATAAAAAGAAAGAAAATAAGACTGGTTGAAAGTCTGTCTAAGAAACAGAGTGCTACATATTTTCAACTCTGTAGTATCTGGACAACTGATGCCCAATCCAGGAGAACAAAGACAGTGTATTTTCTATAAAGACTCTAAAAGAGATTGCTTCCAGACTAAAAGAGCTCATCAGTGCCCAACAGAATGCATTTAAATAAACTTATATCACGGCACCTCATTCTAAAATTTCAGAATAGGAACAAGAAGCAGCAGCTACAAACTTGGAAAAGAAGGAGCCCCAAGGTGGGAGTCAGCATGGCTCTGAAGAGACTTCCCCAAGAAAATTAAAGTAATAGAATCCTTGATGTGTCTGAACATATTGGACATCTGTCAGACAGTTCAGTGAACATAAAAAAATATATACCAAAAAAAAAGGGTAAGTATTACTTCCAGGGAATACAAAAGATTGTACAGAAAAGGAGAAGTAAACACAGCTGACTACATGTCTCAGCTTTGAATAGGAAATATAGGAATCATGATGTAAACACTGAATTTTGATTACTTGGAGGACGAAGGCACAGAGGAAGTGCAAAGGCGGTATCAATACATACTGCCTACAATTAACAACTCACGAAGGAATAACACAGGGGTGTTATTTCCAGATCTGATCATAGATACAAAAGAATCAATCGGCTCCAAACAATAAAAGTGGTTGTCTCTAAGCAAGGAAAAATGGCAGAAAGACAGCTGACTACAGTGTTTTTCTTTAAGAAACATTATACACCTGTCTAGTTGACTCTAAACTATGTCATATAAAATTCTGATTAAAATTTTAAAAACAAAACGGTTTGAAGAGAATTTATAGTAATAATACAGAGCTGTGGCTGGCCCCAATCCACAGGAATCTTTATAGTTTTATTTGGCAGCGGGGAGCAGGGGGTTGTGGCAAGGGGGTATTTAGAATTAATGTAAGAATTAAATAATCCCCACATAAAGCAGTATCTGATTGAGTAAATAAATAACATAGTCATATACACAAATATTTCAGGGATAAAATAGAGTTTTTGTGGTCTAAAAGGTCAGGAACCATAGCTAGAGAAGTTTCTGAAAGAAAAATATCATTATCAGACTTGGGTGCAGAGGGTATGGGACAGAATCAAGAGAAAATTCAGAATTAGAACTGGCAACATACAGAAAAGCTGAACAGTGGACCAAAGGTGAAAAAGTCTTTCACTGCTTCTAGTTTTCCTGTTTGGTCAAATGGATACAATTGTGGTGTCAATAATAATAATGACATTCCATTCTGATATACTGAATTTGAGGTGCTTGTGGGAAATCCATACGAAATGGTCCTATATTTTTTCTCTTATACTGAAAAATGCCAGGTCCTATAACCTTATTTCTTTCTACTATTCATATACGAGTTTCAAAATAACAATACCAATATTACTGATGACGATAACACTATTGAATGCAATTACAAACATTTTTTTGTTGTAACATTACATCCCACCAGGGATATACATGTGAAATACTATGTATTAAAATGACTTGAAATATTCTTCTCAAATAACTATGCCACCAACATCATAACAGTTAGATTCAAATGTTTCAGTCTGTTTTGTATCTTCAGTAATTTTTTCCCCCTAAATCATACTTTACCTCTACATGGTTCCAAACTCTAAAATATAAAACAGATATACATCTTGACAGATCTAGTTTCACCCTCTCCTCCTCTTTTTGCTAGATAGCTACTTTAATTACCTGGTTTATTCTTCCACTGCCTTCTTCCACTTTTTTAAACAGAAGAAAACTAGAGACACCACTCCTTGTTTATATTCTCAAACTCATATAGAGATTTTCTTCATTTCTTTTTAATGGAATGCACAGTACTCCACTGTATACCTAACCAGATGTGGTACTTCAATCATCCAATTACCCATTACTAATTGTTTTTTGACAACATTTTGTTATTACAAAAAGAACTTTTGCACTTTAAACCCATTCCCTTTCAAAATATACCTGCAACAGATTGTGTTCTTAAAACTTTAGTGAAAAATGCAGGATTTAACAATTTACTTGACTTACGCTTACACTGTATACAAAGTGATTAAACGCATAGATCCTAAAGTCAAAACGCCTATGTTATATTATGGTTCCAATGCTAACTAACTGTCAGCCTTGAAAAAATTATTCACCACTTTGTGATTTAATTTCTCATCTGTAAGACTGGGGAAAAGAGCAGTACTATCATCATATGTTTATGTAAGGATTAAATAAAATCTATGTTTTGTATGCTTAGAATGTGTAGCACGTGTTAAATGCTAGTATGAGCTCCTATTATTACAGAATAAGTTATACCTTAAAAATATTTGTGTCATCTTACGTCTAATCACAGTGAAAAAAAGAAACTTGGCTTGACATTGCTTAATACGACCACGACCAGAATGAGAATTCAAAGTCATAGTAGTATGGCTATAATATTGACAAATTTCAAATTAAAGAAATGTTAACAATTTAGAGTATTTTATCATATAATTGTATTTCTCTAGATAACATGTTGAGTCACAAAATAAAGTAAATTCTATTCTTTGCTCTATACCATTTGCTCCAAAAGCAGGCATACCATACTGGGCTCTCTATCCAATTTTCCTAACATTGTAATTTTCTGCTTCAAAGAACAAAGAAGTTACTTGCAGATACTGTCAGAAATTAGTATAACTGGCATTTAGTAAAAAATACATTTAAAATGTTATATAGCATACTATATTAAGAAATGGTATCTGAGAGATACTAAAAATGAAAATGAGCTAATATTAAAAACTATTGTTATTGTTATACTAGAATTCTAAGAACAGGAAAATGCCAAAAATTTTGAGAGTTTGCCCAGTCTTCAAATATAGCAGTAAAATGAAAGCACTATTGTCCTAAAATAGTCCTTAACATAAAAATACAATTTATTCATGATAATGAATACATTTTTAGTATTTAACATCCATTTATTAAATAATAAAATCTAGTTTCTAAGATTTTTAAACCAAACATACAGACTGAGCTATAGCAATATTTGTACAAAAATACCATCTTAAACACATATTATCAGATTCTCAGTTTTTCATTCTTTTCCTTTTTTTGAGGTTGCGGTGAGCTGAGATCACACCATTGCACTCCAGCCTGGGCAGCAAGAGCGAAACTCCGCCTTAAAAAAAAAAGAAAGAAAGAAAGAAAGGAAAAAAGAGAGATGCTGTCTTGTCATGTTGCACAGAAGGCTGGAATTGAACTCCTCAGCTTAAGTGATCTTATAACCTCAGCCTCTGCAGTAGATAGGATTAAAGGCACATACCACCATCTCTGACTCCAAATTTCTTAATTCAAGTATTTGTATCCTAATAATAATCTACTGTTGGCATACTTACAGAGAAATTGCCTTAATTTGTAATTTGTATTAAATATTACAAAAATAATGACTATGTATTTGACTACAGATTTTTGATATGTAGTAAGTTAGTTTGGAATTTTCAATAATAAAAAAGTTTTAAAAGATTGTGTTATTCTGAGCAGCCAAAATAAATAAATAAAATACAATTAACTTTCTTCTTCTTTTTATTTTTTTAAACGGGGTCTCACTCTATTGTCCAGGCTGGAGTATAGTGGCACAGTCTCGGCTCACTGCAGCCTCCAATCCCTGGGCTCAAGAGATCCTCCCACTTCAGCCTCCTGAGTAGCTAGGATTACAGGCACACACCACCATGCTCAGCTAATTTTTGTATTTTTTGTAAAGACAGGCCTCACTGTGTTGCTCAGGCTAGTCTCAAACTCCTGAGATCAACTGCCTACCTTAGCCTCCCAAAGTGTTGGGATTACAGGCGTGAGCCACCGCACCCGGTCAAAATAATTTTTTTTTTTCTTTTTTGAGATGGGAGTTTTGCTTTTGTTGCCCAAGCTGAAGTGCAATGGCACCACCTCGGCTCACCGCAACTTCTGCCTCCTAGGTTCAAGTGATTCTCCTGCCTCAGCCTCCCAAGTAGCTGGGACTACAGGCATGCGCCACCGTGCCCGGCTAATTTTGTATTTTTAGTAAAGACAGGGTTTGTCTATGTTGGTCGGGCTGGTCTCAAACTTCCAATGTCAGGTAATCCACTCACGTCAGCCTCCCAAAGTGCTGGGATTACAGGCATGAGCCACCGCACCCAGCAACCAAACTATAATTACTAATTATTTTAAAGAGTCAGCGGAAATATGCAGTTCTTGCTGATAATACACATCATTGTGTAAACCACGTGCTTAGTTTTAAAAGTAAATTTAATAAATGTATTAAGCATTTATTTCCAATAAATGATCAAAGGATAAAGTAAAACAACTTGGTTTCTCTATAGCCAAAGATCTTAGCAAACAAATTATTTTCCCTAAAATTGTAGTAGTCTATTTCTCCCCATAGAAAGACTAAATAATGAGACAGCTATATATTACATAAAAACAGCCGACTCTTATATTCACTTATTATATGCTAGGCATTGTTGTAACTGTTTATAAATATAAGCTCAAATATTCCTCACATCTATCCTAGGAAGTAGGTAAAGTTATCATCCCCATGTTACAGATGGAAAATCAGGAACAAAGAGTAATCTGTCCACATCACATAGCTGTGAAGTAGCAAAGCCAACGTTCTAACCCTGGGAGTCTCCCTTCAGTGGGTAGTCTTATCTGCTATGCTACGCTTCCTCTAATAATTTGGTAAGAGTATAATAAAAACAAGTAGAATCACAATGGCCATTCCAAATAGTTCACAAGTTGTCTTTCAACAATTACGTTAATCATATTGTTGCAGAAAAGCCAAAAGAGGGGGAGGGGGTGAAGTCAATTCAAATTTAGTCTGGCAGGTGCTTAAATGTGAGAAATCACCTTTTCTTAATCACTTAGAATACATATATTATAATTTAACATGGAAAACTTCAGGTACTGCATACTTACAAAATAAAAATCATTTAGTATCATTCCTCATCTAATAAATGAGGAAAATGAAGGCCAAAGTATACTCAAGAGCCATAAAAGTAGCAGGGCAGCATATGCAAATCAAGGGGCTGGTCAAGGAGAGAATTCCAAATGGATCCTCAGTATAGGCAAGATGGCATTTATACTGGATGCACATCTTCAACATAAAAATTACAGATTCCTCGTCTTTCAAGTCACTTACTATATATGTATTTAGAGCAAACAGAGCACACATTTACTGAACTTTGGATACTGGAGAAGCTCAGTATAATAGAGGAGAAAGGTTAAAACAGGAATACATACAGAAAAATATCTGTAAAGATAATATTAAAATGACATGGCAATTTTCACTTGTTTTAATCACTCCCACACCACCAATCACTTTTTCCTCAAATAGTCAGTAAGTCCAACGTGTTAATTCCTTATTTCCTCTTACCTCCAGAGAAGAATTTATCGCCAAAGCAAAAGCTAAAGCTGAGATTGTGTAAGACTGAGTTCCTTAATCTACTGCCACTCTGTCAGTTTAGTAAAGGCATAAATGCAATAAAAATTCACAAAAGCATTTTAGTAAGCAACATGTTTGATGTTACTTGTAAGCTTTGGAGCTAGGAGAATACTTTGAAATTAATAATAAATGTGGATTAATAGACTAGTGCAATAAACCAGGCCTCAAGTATCCACAGTCTCAACAAGCCACATGCAGATTACTGTTATTACAAATCCTTTAGAGCCCACATGATTCTTGGTAACAGTGGTTTATATTCTCACCCTTTAGTAAACCCCTGGCTCTAAAAAAGAAACTAATAAACTACAAAATTAAAGTCAAAGAGTTTTGCCATATTCCAGATGTAATCAAGGTAAGATGAAGATATTAGGGAATGCCCTTAATCAATTATGACTTTTGTCCCTGCAACAACAAAAACAAAACAGAGACGTAGACAGATACCAGGAGAACATCATGTGACAGCGGAAGCACAGATGGCTGGATTACATATTCACAAACTAAGGAATGCAAAAGACTGACTGCAATCACCAGAAGGTAAGAGAAAGGCTTGGAACAGATTCTCCCCCTGGACCCTTCAGAAAGAGCATGGCCCCACAAACACTGATTTTTTAATTATATAATTAATATAAATATTATAAAGAAACTCTTGTTTTAAGCCACCAAGGTTGTGGTATTTTGTTACAGCATCCCTAGGAAACTAATACAGTCCTTACTAACCTCCTTAAGCTCCTTCTTTTTCTCATCAATCTATAATTTAATACTTCAGTAATCTGGCAGATGACCCTTCCAATTTACAGACGCAAAAATACGTTTATAAATTTTGGTTTTAAAATGTAAACCCCATGCTCAATAGACAATCCTAATGGCATCTTCTTTCTCTTTATTCTTGTTCACTTCTCTGCAGTACTTAACACTATATTAGCCTGATTCATGCTAGCAGAGTTGTGACAGTGAATAAAAACACAGTCATGCGCCACTTATCAACAGGGATATGTTCTGAGAAATGTGTCATCAGGCGATTTCACTGTTGTGCAAACGTCATAGACTGTGCTTATGCAAATCTAGATGGTATCTTATTGGTTAATGTATGAGTCAATTTTCATACTGCTATAAAGAACTGCCTGAGACTGGGTAATTTATAAAGGAAAGAGGTTTAACTGAGTCACAGTTCAGCATAGCTGGGGAGGCCTCAGGAAACTTACAATCAAGGCAGAAGGTGAAAGGGAAGCGAGGCAGCTTCTTCAGGGGATGGCAGGAAGAAGTGCTGAGCGAAGCGGGAGGAGGCCCTTATAAAACAATCAGATCTCGTGAGGACTCGCTATCATGAGAACAGTATGGGGGAAACCATCCCCAGGATTCCCTTGACTTGGGAGACCAGGTAGAGATAACTAATCAGGGGGTGGTAATGCCTACAATCCCCTTGATCATAGGGTGATTTGGGTGTGGACACAAAGCCTAACCATATCAGTTATTATGAAGTAAGACTTCATTATCTGCGCAAACTTTTACCCAATTAGATCCTAAAGTACACTTTGGATCCTTGCTTACAGTTATTGTGATTACTTAAGTGTACTTTTTACAGCAAACCTCTTTGGATAACCTCTTTCATTTCACTGGGAGGAAGTGAAATCATTTTTAGGCTCTAATGCAATGCCACGATTTTCACACCATAATGCTACTTTGTTGTGATAGAAATTCAGTTCTCGTATCTTAGAACATAGCTGAGAAACTCAACACTAAAAATAGGGGTACTTTTCTTTTTATTTTGAATCAATTTTATATTTATTTATTTATTTCATTATAGTTTAGGTTCTAGGATACATGTGTACAACGTGCAGGTTTGACACGTATGTATACGTGTGCTGTGTTGGTTTGCTGCACCCAAATAGGGGTACTTTTAACAGCTATACCTTCTCTCAAAGTCCATACATAAAGATATTTTAATATATTTCTACATACATTTGTTTATATGTAAATACATACATTGAATACTATTTATATCTTTAAGACAGGTATAATATATAAAGATAATACATAACTTAGAGACTGTTGGTTCATAGTTACACAATCTCAACAAACATGGTACTCTAATTTTGATAGCTAACTCAAATTAAAGCCACCAAATTATAAAGTGAAAACTTTGTCCCAACAGCAGACTAACAAAATGAAAGAATGAGAAGTATCAGATATTACATCACTGCATAATTTGCAAGAGTTTTAAAATCCTTACTACCCAAAGTGAGGTCTCAAGATAGGCAACATCCCAATCAGTTCAGACCTTGTTAGAAATCCAGAATTGAATTTTCATAAGATGTCCAGTTGATCTGTTGCCTGTTGAAAGTGTATGAACCTTCAGATTTGAGACCTCTGGTCCACAGGTATTAAACCAACTGAAAACTGCTAAAATAGCCTGTCTAGAACTATATCAACTCTTGTCCTTCTTGTGAACCATCCACACCCAAATGGAAGTCCACACCCAATCATAAAATATAAATGAAAAATTCACAAATATATTCATTTAAAATGATTACAATACCTTGAGCACCTGAACTTGACCTTCTGTAGTAATTTCCTTTAAAAGTTCACAAAACGACTGGCATAGACCTACTGCATATGTCTGAAATTCAATTAAAAGTCAATATATGTAAGAACATATCTGTAATATCAAAAAGGCATAAAATTTCATTTGGGATTCATTATAATGCACTTCAGAATTATACACTAATAATGGTCTAAGCATATCAAATTTCAATTGGAACTCCTAGGAAAAGTTAAAGAAAAAAGACTATGCCAAATAAAAATATAGATTATCGATACATTGATTTTCATAGGAATATAAAAATTTGTTAACATAGCACATTTTCTGCATTAAGTAAGAAAGGAATTGCATGCAGCACATCTGCCCTGCAATGGGAAATGCTCACAGTCAATGTTTCTCTGCCTTAAAATAAGACCAATCTTAAAAGTTTGAAAAGGCACCCCCTGATTTCAAATAAGAAATAATCAAAATAATAATTATATAATTTCATATAATGCAAAACTACTCCAACATACCTGTAAAAATTCCGTTGATGATAAAAAGATATAACCATTGATGATCTTAAAGCAAGTTCTAAGATTTTCTGAACTTAGTTCTGCCAAAACAATAAATGTCAAACAAACAAAAAACAAATTAATTCACTGCTCAAAATTAGTTTAAATGAAGTGATTCATGGTTATTTAAAACTAATTCGCATATTCTAGAAACCTCTTCTGAGCACTATTCAGACTACTAGTATCTATAGATATCTAAAAACTGACATCACTAGGACTTAAAGGGTACAGTTAGCAATGATCATGTCACTGAACTCTAGGGTGGGCAAAAGGGTGAGACCCTGTCTCAATGAATGAATGAATGAATGAATGAATGAATGAATGAATGAATACTGGTATCAACGCAAAGCTTAATGCTATCTTATTTGCTTTTCACTAGGTGAAACATTCATAAAAAAGCCAAGCTCCCCATATTTTTTCCTTTCAGGAAAAAACTACCTAACCATTTGACCCAACCTTTCATTTCGAAATAAATTTTTACTGCTAGCATGGCAAACTACATGAAACTGAATCATTTTACCATCATATTTTGACATATGCTTAAATGGGTTCACTCAGTGAACATTTACTGAGTGTTACTGCACTTGCACTAAATATGCGATATGACTTCTCAACAGAGTCCTGATCACCCTCCAAAAAAATTATATTAAGTTTAGATATTTTCAATCTTTCAGCTTTTATCAGAAAAGGATACTCTTTTTAGCTATTCCTTTGCAAGTGCAGAGTAGAAACTATTTGCTAAAACTGAATATGATCAAAGGTTGACACTGTGCTATTTTACGTTTCACTACTTAATAATATAAAAGAGAATACAGGCTGTATGTGTAAAATTATACAGATTAAAATATGACCCCAAAATACCATCAATGCCTAAAACCTGCCATTCTTTGCTGCAAGTATTTTAGAAATTATATTCACTCACAATAAGACAAATTGTTTTTTCTCAATTTCTGGCAAAAGATAAGCCCCTGTGTTCTTATCTATCATATCCTAATGAAAGAAGACATTCTATTCAGATGTGAATTTTCCATTTATTTTCACAAAACAATGACAATCCTACCCTGTCTCAAAATGTCTTTGAAGGCATTAGTTCCTAAACTTTAGGATTTGACAGTTTTAAAAAATGAGGATAAAAAGGGGACAGGAAATGATAAACTTATTACTAGTTACTAATCTAAAAGACATAAAAAAAAACAAAAGCTGTCATCTAAGTATCCTTTTACAACAGAAGATAAAAATCTCAGGATAAAGGGGTCCTTTATATTAGATAAAGCTATCATTATGAAAAATTCACATTATCCTTTTCTCCTCAAGGAGAGAAAGCCTGCAATTGTGCATACTTGTTTTGTAGACCAACAATGAATAGCAGACTGTCTGGCCATTGCCATGAAAAGTAGGGCCAAGGGTCTATATTTAAGAGAAAACTGAGAATGGCTTCATTCCAGGCATATCAGGGAATATAATTTTGAAATCATTGCCAAGTATAATTTTATCAAAATCAATGTTAAAAAAACCCCAACATTTAAGAAGACTTGATATAAAAAGAAAAGAGCCCATATCTTCCTACAGATAATTAAAAACTATTGCTGGACCATTCTAGACAAATTAGGTCACTTCACACCGCCTTCCATGCCTCTGCCATGCCCAGGATGGCACTGACAAACTTTTCTTGGACATGTTATCATCATCAAATAAATAAATACTGATATTACAGATAGCCCTAAAATTAACAAATTTATCTGTTTTAAGGTACTGGACACTGTTCATTACATCCACAAGTCCCTAGTGAGACTCTGAAGAAAAGTTGTCTAGTCCTAATACCAAGAAGTTACACTTCAATCATGCAATAGATATGTATTTACTTCCAGATACTGAGTAATTTATGTCTATGGTTCGCAGCCAGGGGCAATTTTGTCCCCTACAAGACATTTGGTAATGTCTAGAAACATTTTTGTCATCGCTATCATCAAGCAGGTAGAAGCTGAGGATACTATTAAGCATCCTTCAATACACAGGAAAGTTCCCCACAACAAAGAAATTACCTGACCCAAATGTCAACAGAGCCAAGACTGAAAATCCCTGATTTAAGTGACTAGTTTTTCTTTTCACAGACCGCTACAGAGCTCTAAGGTAAATCTGTATATAACCTATCTAAGTATTTAGTTATGCACTGGGCATATATGATTCATATCGTTAATGTGATTTTATTTTATAATCTACTCTTATTTGCTTTTATTCATAATTCTGCTCCTACACTTAATTTTTATTTTACATTTTATATATTCCTTTAAATTTCTGTAAGGAGGACACGGAGTGAATTATTAAATTATGTTATACAGAATCTAGAGAAATCTACTTCATCCTTTCCAAATTTGACAGAAAGTTACCAGCTGAAAAAGTTTACACTTAAAGGAACATCAGTGTTGCATTCATAATAACTAGGACAAGAGCCAATCACATGCTGATCTTTTAAGTAATGAGAATACTAAGTAAATTAACACCATAACATAGATTTAAAGAAAAAAAGCCATTAGAACTAAATTAATAGAATTACTTCTAGTTACAGCCTCTGGTTCTGCTTAAAATTTATCAGATTCTATTTACATGTAGGGAAAAGGACATAAAATGAATCTTAGCCTTGAATATATTCATACTTAACACATCCTAAAAAAACCATTAACTTAAACATCTTAAAGTGTTCTATAATGTTGGCTTTATATGTTTTAAAGTAGGAAACTTTCTGCCAGTGCCTTTCTTTCTTTCTTCCTTTCTTTTTTTAAGAGAAAGCGTCTTGCTCTGTTGCCCAAGCTGGAATCCAAGAGCAGAATAACAGCTCATTGCAGCTACTACAGCCTTGATCCTCTCGCTTCAGCCTCCTGAGCAGCTAGAACCACAAGCATGGGCCACCAAGGCCGGCTAACTTTTATTTCCTGTAGACATGATGTCTTGCTATGTCACCCAGACTGGTCTCAAACACCTGCCCTCAAGCAATCTATCTGATTACAGGCATGAGCCACTGCAACTAGCCCAGTGGCTTAATTTCTGCTCAGAAAAATATAATACCTAGCATACTCATTAAATAGATAGTTTAAAAGCATTGTTCTGATAAGAGAATTTAACTGATACAAAAACAGTATTCACTTTGGTTTATACTCTTAAAAGATTAAATATTCTGGTTGTATTTAAAAATAAATTTTTAAACTTATATGAAAGAATGTACGGCCGGGCACACTGGCTCACGCCTGTAATCCCAGCACTTTGGGAGGCCGAGGCGGGTGGATCACCTGAGGTCGGGAGTTCAAGACCAGCCTGACCAACATGGAGAAACCCCACCTCTACTAAAAACACAAAAAATTAGCCAGAGTGGTGGCACATGCCTGTAATCCCAGCTACTAGGGAGGCTGAGGCAGGAGAATCTCTTGAACCCGGGAGACAGAGACTGCGATGAGCCAAGATCACACCATCGCACTCCAGCCTGGGCAACAAGAGTGAAACAAGAAAGAAAGAGAGAGAGAGAGAGAGAGACAGAGACAGAGAGAGGGAGGGAGGGAGGGACGGAGGAAGGAAGGAAGGAAGGAAGGAAGGAAGGAAGGAAGGAAGGAAGGAAGGAAGGAAGGAAGGAAGGAAGGGAAAAGAAAGAAAAGAAAAGAAGGAAGGAAGGAAAGAAGGAAGGAAGGAAGGAAGGGGCAAAAAGCTGTATGTCAAACTCAAATAAAAATAAAAGCAATACTGAGGTCAAGATGTACTAATAAACATGAACAAATGTAAACAGAATTTATTCACTATTGATGTAAATACACATACCAGTTTGAACAATAAAAGTAGAAAACAATTCAATAGCATCCACATCACCTATATTTATCGAAACTTTATAAAATAGAACTTTTTAAATCTTTAAAAATTAAAAAAGTTTAAATTGAATATCCGTTATCAAAAGGTTGAAATTTCATTAGTTCTTGATTCAGTAAAGTAACAAATCCTGAAGAGCCAGTCAATGGTAGGATAATTTTAAAATAGGAGTAATATTAATAGCGATAGTGATAGTACTAAACATACTAGCAAAACATTTAGATAATGCTTACTCTGTGCCAGGTATTATTCCAAACACATAAAACTCCTTACTGATTTGGTAAGAAACATGCATCAACTACAAAGATTTCTATCGTTAAAACTACACTAGAGGTGGCTCAAGCCTGTAATCCCAGCACACTGGGATGTCAAGGCAGGCGGATCACATTAGACCAGGAGTTTGAGAGCAGCCTGGGCAACATGGTGAAATACAAAAATTAGCTGGGCATGGTGGCGCATGCCTGTAGTCCCAGCAACTCGGGAAGGCTGAGGCAGGAGAACTGCTTGAACCTGGGAGGCGGAGGTTGCACTGAGCTGAGATTGAGCCACTACGCTCCAGCCTGGGTGACAGAGCAAGCCTCTGTCTCAAAAACAAAAACACACACACACACAAAGCAAACAAATCAAAAACAAACAAATAAAAAAAACCCCACCACTACCACCACCACCACCACCAACAACAACAAAAAACCACTACACTAGAGCACTTAACTAAAGCTACACTAAAAATAGTGTCATACAGTTATAGTAAAGTAAGTCATATGCTCTCTATTTAAATCTCTTATTCTTGATTACCAATGCCTCTCCCACCACTCTTAGGGAACTGAGCATTGTGGAGACTAAGCATGCTGAATTTGAAGTGGAAAACAGTGAAAAGACCAATGTGTGAAATCACACATATGTGGAAGCAGCTGAATGTTGTTCATGACAAAGCTGGTAAAAGGTCTGGCTGAGGTGTCTAATCCTAGGTCAAATACAAAGAAACCTGTGGATTGCCTAAAGCAGGATGGTATGTAGTCTCAAAGTTAGGTAGAACAGAACTAAAAAGGCCTTCACCAAAGATCCCTATTCTCTTTCTCTACGATGACTGAAAGAAAAAATTTCTCCTAGTAGATGAAAACCTATTGCCACTGACTTCATCTTTGGTAAGTTTTTCCTTTTATGGGGACTCTAGATAAAAAACAGCAAATGGCTCTTTACTGGAAAATAAATGGTTACCTTGATTGTTATTTGAAAAGAGTAACAAAAAATTTAGGAGAAAATGTGAAGAACTAATCACATTATCTAACCACCATGTTCATGCAACAAATAAGGCAAGAAAATGATTTTTTAATCAGTTACAATTGTTTTTAGTCCACATTTGCTGGTATTTTCAAAGAGTGAGTCTATTTTTCCAGTGTGTCATTCATTATACCTCAGGGACATTTTTTGCCTCTGACAATCCCAGCACTTTGGGAGGCCAAGGCAGGCAGATCACCAGGTCACGAGTTCAAGGTCAGCCAGGCCAATATGGTGAAACCCCATCTCTACTAAAATACAAAAATTAGCTGGGTGTGGTGATGTATGCCTGTAATCATAGCTACTCAGGAGGCTGAGGCAGGAGAATAGTTTGAACCCGGGAGATGGAGGATGCCATGAGGCGAGATCACGCCATTACACTCCAGCCGGCGCAACAAAAGCAAAACTCCATCTCCAAAAAAAATAGCCAGATGTGGTGGTGTGTGCCTGTAGCTCTAGCTACTCAGGAAGCTACAGGAGTTGCTTCAGTCCAGGAGTTTGAAGCTGCAGTAGATGCCATGCCACTGCACTCCAGCCTGGGCAACAGAGCAAGACCTTGTCTCAAAACAAAACAAACACCACCAATTGACTTATTTGTCAATATCAGGGATTAAATAAAAATGGAAAGTATGTATATTCTCATTTATAAATGGAGGCTAAACACTGAGTACTCATGGACATGATCATGGCAAAAATAGATACTGTGAACTACTAGAAGGCAGAGGGAGGAACTCAAAGGTTGAAAAACTATTAGGTACTATGTTCACTAACTGGATGACAGAATCAACTGGACCCCAAACCTCAATATCATGCACTATATCCATGTAACAAACCTGTACATATATCCCCTGAATCTAAACTAAAAGTTGAACTTGTATATATAAAAAAAAAAAAATTTGTTTCAATGCCTTCAAATTATGGTTGCATTAAAAAACATTAGTAATTTTATGCTTTAACACATACCAAGAAGTGGTGACATATTCTGAAATATACGCAGCAACTCTGGTGTGATACATGGGCTGTTTTCCAAAGTTACTAACCTAGAAAGGAAAAGCAGATGATTAAACACTTTCCACGCCCATTAAAGCCATTAACACATGACTTAAATATTTTAAAAAGTCTCATTTCAATGAAGAAAGGTAAGTGTATAATCAGTAAGTTATAAAAATTATCTTTCTAAGAAAGAATTAACCAAATGTCTCAAAATAAAAACCTGTCTACAAATTATGTAGTATTTCTACATACACAGCAAAAGTAGTAAGGAAAATAACTACAGTTGACCCTTGCACAACACAGCTTTACACTGAGTGGGTCCACTTATATCCAGACTTTTTTGACCAAATGCAAGGTTAAAAATACAGTATTCACAGGATGAAAAACCAAAGTACATGGAGGGCTGACTTTTCACATACACATATACACAGGTTCCGCAGGGCTGACTGCGGGACTGGAGTATGCATGATTTTTTGTATATGTGGTAGTCCTGGAACCAATCTCCTGTTGATAGAAAGACACAACTGTATATACTAAAGTATCCATAATAATGAAATTATAACAATAAACCAAAAGCATAACTATTACAAATTGGTCAAACAGATAAAAAAGTTAATTTGTTGTTCTGATTTTCTTGATTATGTCCCTCTGCCACATGTAATTGATATGTTCTTCGATGGGAAACTAGGCTAATAAATTAGTAAAACTTATGCTAAATGCTTAACAAATATGAACTTAGTACAATAAAGGCAATTACAAGCCAATCTGACTGCATTAGCAGTTATGAAACAATCCGTAATATAATACGTATACATGGAAGGTTTAGTGTAACAAAGGCCAATTACAAACTAATCTGATCACAATCCATGACATAATATATATCCATGATGGGTTATCCCAGAAGTGTGTGGTTGGTCCATCTGTTCACATCCCCCAACCCTCAAAACAAGGATTGTTGGCCGGGCGCGGTGGTTCACGCCTGTAATCCCAGCACTTTGGGAGGCCGAGATGGGCGGATCACGAGGTCAGGAGATCGAGACCATCCTGACTAACACGGTGAAACCCCGTCTCTACTAAAAAAATACAAAAATTAGCCGGGCGCAGTGGCGGGCGCCTGTAGTCCCAGCCACACGGGAGGCTGAGGCAGGAGAATGGCGTGAACCCGGGAGGCGGAGCTTGCAGTGAGTGGAGATCGCACCACTGCACTCCAGCCTGGGAGACAGAGCGAGACTCCGTCTCAAAAAAAAAAAAAAAAAAAAAAAAAAACAAGGATTGTTTTGATTGTCAAAACAGCAGCGACAAAAGGAGGGGAAAGCCTATTCAAAATCTAATATTGGCTATAAAAACTAAAAACTAAGGAATAACCTGATGATGCTATCATAACTATAAAGAACCCGTGGCCCCCAACATTGGTCTATTTCCAGTTCCTTTTATTAATTAATTGTTAAAACGTATAAAGAATAGATTGATACATATCACAAAAATCATTCCAGTGCAATGAAAACCATTTTTAAATTGTTAAACATAGCACTGATATAAAATCAAGAAGAATCACAAAATGTAGATCACAGATCCAGCTCATTAATAGAGGAAAAAATAAAATTAGATAAAGTATTAGAAAAATGTTTATAATATGCATTAATAGTAGAATTCCCCACCAAGTCAAGTTTATCCTAGGAAGTCAAAGTTCTTTTAAAAGAAAGGCTTTTTTCTTAAGAGAAAGATATGATCTTTTGAGTAAATGACAAAAAGCAATCAAATTTGTTTTGTTTTTAAAAATGATATTACATTTAACAAGATATAGCTGATACTGCTGACTGCTTACCAGTATTCATTACTACCTCATCCAATTATCTTAAAAATAAAAATAAAAATAAACTATTCAAGGTCTTTTGTTCAAATTCTGTATAAAAATAATTTATTGTATTAAATGTTTATATTATGATAGAAGAAAGGCTAAGAGTTGATAAGCTGATTTTCTTAGAAAGGAGATCAGATGACAACAAGCCCATAAACCTAAAGCAAGCAGAATAAGATAATAAACATAAGAACAGATATTAATAAATAGGAAACAGATATACAACAAAGAGAACCAAGGCCAAAGGTTGTTTTTGAAAAGACTAGTAACTGACAAATCTCTAGTGAGATGGAGCAAGAGGAAAATAAAAAGCCATAGTGGGAGATAAATCACATAATCAGTCTGAGAATTTCACTTTATATTCGTGACCCCAAACATCGAGTGGTACTGGTTTCATCCCTAATAAATTCAAATTCCCATTCTCTAAGATAACTACTTCATACTTTCTCTCACCTATAGACCTCTCATATCTTGTACAAACTCCTAATTCAGCCCATTACTCCCCACTAACGACAATGCTTCATATTTTGTCGAGAAAATAGAAGCTATTGGATGGAACACCTTCCTATCTCATTACGGAAAACCACCTTCTGCCTCCAGTTAAAATGGATGAAGTATCCCAGCTGCTACTAAAATTCAACCCCTGCACTTGAGCTCTGAATCCCACCACTTTTTGCTTCCTTTACTTATCCCACTCTCTCAATCCAGCCTCACCCATTCCTCTAGATCTTAACATTTCCCACACTACCCAGCTGTTGCACCATTTCTATGCTCCTCTTAATAGTAAAAGCTCTCAAACAAGTTATCAGTGTGTATAGTCTGTACGGACTTACCTTCAATTCATTCTTCAGTCTATTCCAATTCTAATTTATGTTCTTACCACTCCGGTGAAAACCCTCCTAACATCTTCATGTGGCCAAATCCACATCTCTATACCAATCTTACTAGGAAAATCAGCAACATTTGACAAAGCTGACCACTCTCCCCTCTTCTAGGAAATGTTATCCTCTCTTGGCTTGGTTTTCCTACTATATAAGTACATAGCTCTTCTCTGTCTTTGTAGATGGCTCCTCGTGTCCTCAAAATGTTACAAGTTCATTAGAATTCTGCCCTGGGCAGAATGTTCTCTATCTGTCCTTTGCTTCCTAGGCAATCTTGAATTATTTTCAAGCATTGAATGCCATATCCAAAGTGCCAACCACTTCAGCAAACATTATCTGATATTCACGACAATCATGTAAGGGTAGGAATTACTCTTCATTTTACAGACAAGGAAACTGTGGTTCACCAATGATGATTAACTTATTCAAATTACATATATAATGCAGTAATATCACTGGGAATGGTGCCTATGTTTGCCTGATTTCAAATATAAACTCTAACCCATCAAGAAAAATTCATGAAGAAGGAGTTTCTTCATGAATTTTTTCTCTTTAAAGAAACTCAACTATTAACAAATTAGGTAATTAAAAATTTTTTCTCCTAATATTTTATTTTCATTAGCAAGTAACTAAAGGCTAGGAAAAAACATTTCCATTAACAAAGCAGTGCATTTTTACTACTACTTTTTAATGTAATCCCTTGAAAATATCTACACCTTTAATAAACACATTAATATATTGTCAGCAATACTGATAACTCTGAGTCTAATCTCTTTAATATTGGATTTTTTTCTAACATTCAACATCATATAGTATCTACATGTTTACGAAAATTATTTATCTGCCAGGAATTAATATTTTATCTTACAATCTAGGGCAGAGGTTGGCAAACTACAGTTCATGGGCTAAATCCACCCACGTACTTATTTCTATAAATGATGTTTAACTGGTGCACAGCCATACCTACTTGTTTATGTATTGTCTATGACGGTTTTGACACTGACAGTAGAGTCGAATAGTTGCAACAAAGACTGTGTCACTTAGAAAGCCTAAAATATTTAATATCTGGTCCTGTCCAGTACAAGTTTGCCAACCTCTGATCTAAAGTAATCCATCCTTATACAAAATGTTTGAATATAAAATATTTCAACAACAGGCTAATTTACAACCAAACCATATAGATGCCATTTCAGTTTGAACAATACCTTTCTGAGGAACGCAAACCACAAATTAATAAGTATCTACTCAGTAAGGTTTTAAAGTCATTCATGTCATATCCTGATATAGATCATTATTTATAATTTGCATCAAAGGTAATTTCTAAGAACCAAAACTGTTAAATTCTAGACATCTAAGAAAAACAATAGAAGGAAGGAAGCAAGTTCCAAAGGGAGGGAGGCAGGGATGAAGAGAAACAAATGTTCATTTCTTTTATGGTTGATCTCTATGATTTGCTTTCTTTAACTGCACTATCAATTTACACAACGGGATTTTGAAACTTTTCATGTATTACTGAAAGATTGTCTCTGGAAAAAATTGTTGCCAACAGTACAGTGAGTTTAATAAAGCAAAAGGATTTTCTAGCACAGCTGCTTACACACCATGGGCAGTCAATAAGCCTTTGTAGCACTGAGCTGCCACAGAAGCAGGGCATTTTTTTTTAACCTCTTAATAATGCATACTACTAATTTACTCAGTAAAACAATAAGTTAAGACTGTAAGTAGCATTAGCATTTGGAGCTGAGGTATAATATCTCGATGCTTGGTTAAGTAGTAAGAGGACCTTAATATCCCCCAAACATCTCATTTAACAGACTGGAAATTATAAGTCAAAAACTTTTTGGAAAAGTTATCATGACCCCATTTTACATGACAAATTCCAAAAGATGAAATGCAGTTGAGTTCCTACTGAAATGTCCACCTTTAACTTTGTCTACTGTAATCCTACACTGAGTGACAGCTGTCAAAAAAAAAGGAGATATATGGCCCAGTTTGAAGAAACAGAGTTTACACTTTTTGTTTTCAAAGCCCTATTACATGACCTTAACTTCATTGGCATGAGAGTAGGAAAGGTCACGAATAAAATAAGATCCATGGTATTAAGTTTTTCCTCTTACCATAATTCTAAACCATCTTCCAGAAGATAAACATGTGGAGGCTGGGAAACATCTGTACTCAGTTGAATAACTGGGAGCAGGAAAGGGTACAGGTTCTTGCTGTCTGCTCCTAATCCCTATGGGAAGTATAAATAAAACTTACAATAAGACACTCTAATGTCCCATCCCCCACCAAAAAATTACCTATCATATAAAAAGCCCTAAAACCAATTTAAAAAAATGAATCATATTTTTAGGAAGGTCAAGCAATAGTAAAACAAAGTTAGTTCTGTTTATAATTGGAAAGGAAAAATTAAAAAATACTATTCAATTGCCTATTGGCAGTTAAAAAAATGTATATGCCAAGGCTACATACATCTGTTCATTTTAAGAGATTGCACATATAAGAAATATCTACTTTCCTCTCCCTGTCACTACAGATGACATATTAACCTTGGAATTTTAAATTCTATAGATGCTTTCACCTAAATAATCTAAAACGAACCTACCCTAAATGTTCGTCGGTAAAGTAATTAAATTATGGAACTTCAGATTCAAGAATATTGAAAAGCCATTAAAAAAAGATTTTAGGGGCTGAATGCCATGGCTCACACCTGTCATCCCAACTCACTGGGAGGCCAAGGCGGGAGGACTGCTTGAGGCCAGGAGTTGGAGACCATCCTGGGCAACATGGCAAGATTCTGTTCTTGAAAAATATTTAAAAGTTAGCCAAGCATGGTGTTGCCTGCTTGTAGTCCCAGCTACTCAGGAGACTAAGGCAGGAGGATCGCTTGAGCCCTAGAGTTCAAGGCTGCAGTCAGTGAGCTATGATCCCACCACTGCACTCCAAACTACATGACAGAGCGAGAATCTGTCCATCCCCTCACCTCACACACACACACACACACACACACACACACAAAAGGATGGGAGAATTTGACACAGAATTTTAAATTTTCAAACAAATTTAAAAGGTGCAGAAGTGTGTATAACAATTCCACGTGTCAAAGAATTTTTTAAAATATCTAGATATCTGTATATGGTATACACAAAAATGTTTCTGGACGCAAACAGAAAAAAACTTACTGCTTCTTAGATACAGGAAAGGAAAAAGGATGATGTTGGGATGACGGCAAAGGAGTTTTCTGTTATCTTTTCAACGTATTAAAGAATTTTTGATAATATTTTTAATGAATCAAGAACACAAAGATGGAAGAAGAAGGTAAGTTTTGATATAAAATTCTAGTTTGCTGAATTACTGTCTTAGGGAGGTTGATTCAATGTATTACACAGTAAGTATTTTGGAAGAAAACAAAGGGGTAAAACGTCAATCTGTGAAACATAATATCTATAATTTGATGAACACAAACAGGAAACCAAATAAATTACCAAATACCTCCTCACCTAAGAAGTAATTCAAATGTCAATATAATTCAAAGCAAATTATAAGGCCACATAGCATATATGTATTCCCCTTTTGATGACATATACTACTAAGTTCAATTGTTGGGATTTTACCTGCAAATCTCCAGTGTACAATACCTTATTTTTTAACTATAATCACTGCACTGTATATTAAATCTCCAGAACTTATGTTAAATACAATTTTGGCCCTTTTTATCATGAAAAACCACTTGGAAGACTTTATTAAAGAGTTTTCCAAAGGAAGAGAATTATGAAAATACCATTATTTAACAGAGTAGTACACAGTGGGCCTTAAAACTCACTTCAATGTCACTCTACATAGCTCAATCTTTCATGAAACAAAAAAGAAAGAATATTAAGAAAAAAAAAAACAGTCAAGTTCATTTTGATTATCAAGTTGACTTAAAATTTCCTTGGAAAATTTATCTACTTACTTAAGTCTGTATTTCAATATTCAAAATATACTATCATTAGCAAAACTAAAGTAAGCAACTGCTAAACACATACACTGTCTTAATCAACACCTGAAGAGATTCAGTACCTTATAATTCTAGTGGCTAAAGAATGTGTCCAATCCCTGATATACAGCTTTAAGTAAATGTAAGCACCCTTGGGGTCCACAGTAACTACAAGACATTGCCTACAATACTCTGAAAGTTCAAAAATAAATTCATCAGTTATTAAAATAAGAGAACTACCAGGAATAATTAAGGAGAGGAGAATTAATATTCTACTATAATTACATGAGATGTAAGGAGAAATTGGGTGAAGGATACATGGGATTTCTCTATACAATCCTTGAAACGTCCCGTGAATCTATAATTACTTCCACAAAAGAAACATTAAAAAAAAAAAACCAAAAAAACAAAAAACAGCACCCTCCAAATACTGACCATTCTCAGGGTAGTATCCTTGGCTCTCTTCTCATGTCCCATGAACACACTGATGATACACAAATCCATCATCTCTGAAACAACTCTCTGAACTCCAGATAATCAACCAACTACAGCACATTATCAGCTAGAACGTCATCTCAACCTCTAATACTGAACCAACTCATTGTCTTCCTAAAATACAGTTCTTCTTCCTGTATTTCCTAACTCAAGTGACATGAATCACTAATTACCTAGTGATAAATTATATCATAACTACCTCCTGGTTGTTCTTCTTCTTCAAAGAGGAAATATCTCCTAAATATTTTTCAAATCTTTCCCCTTCTCTCCATAATTCAGGGTCTTATCATCTTTTTTCTGATTAACAGTCTCCTAATTAGTCTATTTGACCTTAGTTTTACCCTCTTCCGAACTAGTGACCTCAGTGGTGCCCTGACTACTTTTCTAAAATAAAAATAACATTTCTTCCTCTGACCTTCAAGAGATGTTCACTTAGCCTTCCTGACCAGTTCCCCCTACGCAAGCTCTATACTCTACGTTCCTGCTATACCAAATAAAGCAGTGTTAGAAATCACTATGTTAACAGCTAACAGATGAACAGTTTCAACACATGCATTTACTACTGTTCTTTCCCAAAGCCAACTAAAAGGATACAGAAGGATTTTTCCCTTTTTTTAAAGAACTAAAAACAGAAATACACAGACAGCATAAGAAAAGATAAAAGTAATTCACTTTGGAAGCTGGGAAGAAAGACAAGTGCTAACTGATTTAGCTAATGAAGAAACCAAAACTAAAATCCAGCAGGGGCGGCAGGAAAAGACAAACTACCTGATTTACACTACAGAAAAAAGACTGAGGAACTAATGGCACCAGGTATTTTGAGGGGTGTGTGTGCACAAGTGCGTGTGCACATGCATGCATGCATCTGGGGGACAGAGGATTGGAGGACAGTGAAAAGGAACTATTAATAATAAGAGGACTTCTAGAAAATGTTTAGAAAGCAGTTTGATGCCAAGATCTCATCCAGATACATAAGCAGAAAACTAACTGACCCTCTTCTGAACCAGCATAAAACCAGCTATTTATTTTCTGCTAAGATAAAACAGATGGTTTCAAGACAAGGAGATACCACGTAATCAAGAACAGGGATATGACATAAAACAGGAAGATTATATCAGCATGTAACAGGCAGGAGACTGAGGGGTCTTTCACTGAGGAAAGACCTTAAAAAATTAACCCAAAAACATTCTCCTACAAAACCTAACGAGATCATTCTAAAAGAAAAACACACAATTATGGCCGGGAGCAGTGGCTCATGCCTGTGATCCCAGCACTTTGGGAGGTCAAGGCGGGCAGATCAGCTGAGGTCAGGTGTTTGAGACTAGACTGGCCAACAGTATGAAACATTGTCTCCACTAAATATACAAAAATTAGCCAGGCATGGTGGTGCACGCCTACAGCCCCAGCTACTAGGGAGGCTGAGGCAGGAGGATCACTTGAACTCTGGAGGCAGAGATTGCAGTGAGCAGAGATCACACCACTGCACTCCAGCCTGGGCAACAGAGTAAGATCCGGTCTCAAGAAAAAAAAACACCATAATCAGCAAGCCTCCCCAGCACACCACACACACAATCCTTCTACTCAGCTTTTTAGTGTCCATTCCTAAATTCATACAGACAAAATGCTGATCTAGAAGTTGGGTGATGCTTCAGGATTCATTACACTTTTCTTCCTTTTTTGTATATGCTTCAAACTTCTCATAATAGAAAGTAAGTAAATAAGAGAAGGCAACCAAGGATCAAGAGATATGATTAAAATGTTTGATATGAAAAAGGGAAAACAAAAAAACTAACTAAATACGAAAACAGCACTTTAAAAGAAACAGAGACCAGGCAGAGATGAAAGCTTAGAAAAATGTATCATTAATATCTTTGGTAATTAAAACACTGCATTAAAGAAAACACTGTGATGGGGCGGAGCAAGATGGCCGAATAGGCACAGCTCCAGTCTCCAGCTCCCAGCGCCAGCGACACAGAAGACGGGTGATTTCCGCATTTTCAACTGAGGTACAGGGTTCATCTCAGTAGGGAGTGCTGGACAATTGGTGATGGTCAGCTGCTGCAGCCCGACCAGCCAGAGCTGAAGCAGGGCGAGGCATCGCCTCACCTGGGAAGCGCAAGGGGGAAGGGAATCCCTTTTCCTAGCCAGGGGAACTGAGACATACAACACCTGGAAAATCGGGTAACTCCCACCCCAATACTGCGCTTTACCAAGGGTCTTAGTAAATGGCACATCAGGAGATTATATCCCACACCTGGCCGGGAGGGTCTCACGCCCGCAGAGCCTCCCTCATTGCTAGCACAGCAGTCTGCGATCTAAGGGCAAGGCAGCAGCCAGGCTGGGGGAGGGGCGCCCGCGATTGCTGAGGCTTAAGTAGGTAAACAAAGCCACTGCGGAGCTCAAACTGGGTGGAGCCCACAGCAGCTCAAGGAGGCCTGCCTGTCTCTGTAGACTCCACCTCTGGGGACAGGGCACAGCTAAACAAACAAAAAAAAAAGCAGCAGAAACCTCTGCAGATGCAAACGACCCTGTCTGACAGCTTTGAAGAGAGCAGTGGATCTCCCAACACGGAGGCTGAGATCTGAGAACGAACAGACTGCCTGCTCAAGTGGGTCGCTGACCCCTCAGTAGCTTAACTGGGAGACATCCGCCACTAGGGGCAGACCGACACCCCACACCTCACACAGCGGGGTATACCCCTGAGACGAAGCTTCCAAAGCAAGAATCAGACAGGTACACTCGCTGTTCAGCAATATTCT